ACATTGCTGAGTGTGTTAACGCATTTATTTATTTTGCCTTTTTGAGACAGGTTCTCACTATGCAGCTCAGGCTGGTCTTGAGCTCACTTTGTAACCCAGGCTGGTCTCGAACTCGCAACGATCCTCCTGCCTCAGCCTCCTGAGTGCTGGGATTACAGGCGTGTGCCACCACACCCAGCCTCTCTCTTGTTAACCTATTTAAAGAGAAAATTAAAATGACCTAGAGAAATGTGGATCAGTTTTACAGTTATTTATTAAATTAAAAATACAGTGATCTACGATGTTAAAGTAGAAAGTTAAAGTGATCTATAGAGGAAAATTCGTTACAGTCAATGTGTGGTTTGATCATGCTGCAAAATTTCTGCAAGATTTTTTTTTTTTTTCTGCAACATGTTAACAGCTCAAAAACGTTCGCAGGAACCAGAACCAGCGTGCAAGTGCTGTCTCTGCTCTGGGCTGTCCTGATAGGTGACTGACCTGAGGAAATACTAGTAATCATATTAGTAATAACATGAGAGAGAATTCTTTACAAAGCACTACCAGTGTTGCAGAGTGCATTCAGTAGAAAATGAGGTAACATTTTAAGAACATGATAAAGTCAGGTGTGGTGACACACATCCCAGCACTTGGGAGGCTGAGGCAGGAGGGTCGCTGAGTTCAAAGCCAGCCTCAGGTACATACTGAGTTCAAGGTCAACCTGAGCTGCATAGTGAGACCCTGTCCCAAACCAACATAAAAGAACATAATAAATTGCAGATGTAACATTCGTGTTCTGATTTGCTGTGTTAAAATGAAGTCTTCCATCTACTCCATGGACATGAAATAAAGGTACATGCTTCTGCCTATGCCTGCTAAAAAGTGAACAGAAATGCCTGCCCCTCAGTCAAATTGAAATCTTTTTTTTTTTTTTGAGGCAGAGTCTCAAAACCAGTAGTTCTGACTGGTTTTGAACTCACTTATGTACCCCAGGCTGGCCTCAAAACTCATGGTGATTCTCCTGCTTCAGCCTCCTGAGTGCTGGGATTACAGGTGTGTATCACCATGCTCAGCTGTTTTGTTTTTTGAGACAGGATCTTGCCATGCAGCCCAGGCTGGCCTTGAACTCA